CTCCCCACGGACCCGACAATTCCCCAAACCTCCTCAGAACCCACACAGGGACCCCCAAACCCCTCCAAGACCCCCCAAATTCCCTCGGGACCTCTCCCCACGGACCCGACAATTCCCCAAACCTCCTCAGGACCCACCCAGGGATCCCCAAACCCCTCCAAGATCCCCCCAAACCCCCCGGGACCCCTCCCCACGGACCCGACAATTCCCCAAACCTCCTCAGGACCCACCCAGGGATCCCCAAACCCCTCCAAGATCCCCCCAAACCCCCCGGGACCCCTCCCCACGGACCCGCCCCCCCCCTCCGCCAGCGCCGGGTCTCGAACTCGTAGAATTTCTTCTCGTAGAGTTTGCGGGGGGGGCCTGGGAGGGGGGACAGGAGCTCAGCCCAGCGCTCCCAGTGCTCCCAGTTACCCCTCCCAGTGCTCCCCAGTCCCCCCCAATTCACAGTCTCTTCCAATCCCTCCCAGTGCTCCCCAGTCCGCTCCAGTTCTCTCCCAATCCCTCCCAGTCCCCCCCAGTTCTGTCCCAGTCCCTCCCAGTGCCCCCCCACTGCTCTCCCAGTGCTCCCAGTTACCCCCACGGCTCCCCAGGTTCCTTCCCAGTCCATCTCAATCCCCTCCCATTCCCCTCCCAGTCCCTCCCAGTGCCCCCAAATCCCCTCCCAGTCCCTCCCAGTGCCCCCAAATCCCCTCCCAGTCCCTCCCAGTGCCCCCAAATCCCCTCCCAGTCCCTCCCAGTGCCCACCCAGGGGCCCGCGGCGGCTCTGAAGTTTCTCCAGCAGCTCCTGGTCCGAGAGTCCCCGAAAACTCTCCATGGCTGGGGGGTCCCGGGAGTCACTGGGGGGTCCCGGGAGTCACTGGGGGGTCCCGGGGGTCACTGGGGGTAGCGGGGGTCACTGGGGGGGGTCCGGGGATGTGTCCTTAATGGGCTTGGAGCTGTCCCGGGAGGTCCCCAAAGGGTTTGGGGGGTCCCAGAAGGATCCCAAATGGGTTTGGGGGGTCCCGGGGGGGGATCCCGCGGCTCTGGGGGGGGTGTTCGGGGGGCCTCCCCACGATTTTGGGGCATTTTTGGGGGGTTCCCGAGGAGTTTGGAGGTGTCCCGAGGAGCTCCCCCGTCGGTTTTGGGGGTCCCGGGTGGGTTTGGGGGGTCCCGGGGGGTTCCCGTGGCCCTGGGGGGGGTTCTGGGGGTCTCCCCACGATTTTGGGGGGTCCCGGGGGGGGGTCCCGGTACCTTCGCTCCGCCGGGGCCGCGCGCGGGGATGACTCAGGCCGGGGGGCGTGGTCACCCTAAACCCCGCCCACTTCCTTATTTGGGGCAAATTCCCGCCCAAACGCGGGGGTGTGATCATTTATGGGCGTGGTCGCGCCGGGGCACACCCATTTCCTTATTTGGTGAAGTGGGGGTGGTCTCGAATAGACCACGCCCATTCCTGATTTGGGGAGGGGTTTTCTAGGGCAGTTTTGGGGGGTGCTGAGCCCCCCCCCAAACCTCCCATGAGGTCCGGACCCCCATCCCCCCCCTCAAATTTAGGGTCTGGACCCCCGAGACCACCCACCCCACAAACCCCTCCCCCACCCAAGATTTGGGGACCTCCCCCCCTCTCAATTTCTCAACCCAGACCCCCCCAAAAAATTCGGGGACCCCCCTCTGGCGGTTTCACCGTCATCTTTTATTCCCTCCGGGGGGGTCCCAAGGGGGGCTCAGCCCCCGCCCCCCACCCCCGGCCCTGCCCCACATTTTGGGGAGGGGGATTTGGGGGGGGCAGGGCCCCCAAAACGTCACAATCACGGCACAAAGACACGGGGTGGGGGAGGGAAGGGGTGGGGGAGGGGGCACGGCCGGGGGGAGGGGCTTTGGCACGGCCGTGGGGTGGGGGAGGGGCCGTGGGGGGATTTGGGGGGGGAATTTTTTTAGGGGGGAGGGGTTTAGGGGTTCCATGGGGGGGGGTCCTATAAGGAGGGGGGGTAATGAGGGGGTTAAGCCCCTCCCACTTCGCTGCCCCTCCCCCGGGGGCGTGGCTTAGCCCCAGGCTCCGCCCCTCTCGCCGCCGCGCGGCTCCTCGGCACAGCGCCCCCTGCTGGAGGGGAGGACCTGCGGAAAGGCGTTCAAAGGCACGGTGAGAGCGCCCCCTGGCGGGTTGGAGGACTCGGAGTATTTTTTTGGGGGTGGGAGGATCCAAATTTCACCCCCCGACCCCCAAATGGAGACCCAAAACCTCCCCAAATCCCACTAAAATCCCTCCAAACCCCCCAAAAAACCTTCCCCAAACCTCCTCAACCCTCCCAAATCCCACTAAAATCCCTCCAAACCACCCAAAACCTTTCCAAAACCTTTCCCAAAGCCCCCCAAAACTTCCCCAAACCCTCCCCAATTTCCCCCAAAACCTCCCCAAAACCTTCCCCAATCCCCCCGAACCTTTCCAAAACCTTTCCCAAACCTCCCAAAACCCTCCAATTTCCCCCCAAACCTCCCCAAAACCTTCCCCAATCCCCCCGAACCTTTCCAAAACCTTTCCCAAACCTCCCAAAACCCTCCAATTTCCCCCCAACCCTTCCCCAAACCCCCCCAAACCCCCCCAAAATCCTCACCCTACATCTGATTGGCGAAGGAGGTGGGGGCTCCCTGGCCGTACCCCCCCTCTGAGGGGGGTGCCCCGTACCCCCCCTGGCCGTAGTCGGGCTGGTAGCCCCCCCCGGGCTGGCCGTAGCCCCCCTCGGGGGGTCCGTACCCCCCTTCTGGAGCCGGGGCTTTTTCGGGGACCCCCCCCGGGGGAGGGGCGCGGGCCCCCAGGCCCCCCCAGCCCGTCTCCTTGAAGACGAACCACAGGTTCCCCGTCCAGAGCACCAGGTTCAGGAAGCCAAACACCTGGGAAAGGGAGGAAATTTGGGGTTTTGGGGGGTTTTTGGTATTTTGGGGTTTTTTTGGGGTATTTTTTGGGAGTTGAGGAGTATTGAGAGGGATTTGGGGGTCTCTGGGGAGGATTTTTGGGGGTTCCCCATCCAGAACGTGAGGTTCAGGAAGCCAAACACCTGAGAAAGGGAGAAATTTTGTGGTTTTGGAGGGTTTTTGGTATTTTGGGGGTATTTTTAAGGATTTTAGGGGCATTAGGTGGGATTTGGGGGAGCCCTGGGGAAGTTTTGGGGTGGGTTTGGGAGGGATTTTGGGGAGTTTTGGGGTCCTGAAGCCCCCAGACTCATTACAGAGGTGTTGAGGCTGGAGGCTCAGGATGCCCCCAGGTTAGTGGGGTGGATTTTGGGGTGGTTTAGGGTGGATTTGGGGTGATTTTGGATGGATTTGGGGTGATTTAGGGGTGATTTGGGGTCCTGCAGCCCCCAGACTCACCATAGAGGTGTCGAGCCCTGAGGTTTGGGGTGCCCCAAGGTCACCGGGGTGGATTTTGGGGTGATTTAGGGGGGATTTGGGTGGGATTTAGGATCCTGCAGCCCCCAGTCTCACCACAGAGGCGTTGAGGCTGGAGGTTCGGGGTTGCCCCCAGGTCACTGGGGTGGATTTTGGGGTGGTTTAGGGTGGATTTGGGGTGATTTAGGGGTGATTTGGGGTCCTGAAGCCCCCAGACTCACCACAGAGGTGTTGAGGCCGGAGGTTCGGGGTGCCCCCAGAGCCTGGCACCGCGCCCCCGGGCGTTGGCACCCCCCGACCTGGGCCAGCACCCCCGAGGGCGCCGTGGCCGCCTTGACCTCGGCCAGCGCGGCCGCCCAGGCACAGGAGCTGACCAGCCACAGGAAGGCCAGAGCTGCCGTCACTCCCAGGTCCTGCAAGGGAAGTTTGGGGGTTCAGGACACCCCAAAACCCACCTGAGACCCCAAATTTGACCCCAAAAACCCCAAACTTGACCCTAAAAACCCCTCTGAGACCCCCAAATCTCCCCCTTCTGGAGCTGCAGTCACTCCCAGGTCCTGGAAGGGAAATTTGGGGTTTCAGGACACCCCAAAACTCGCCTGTGACCCGCCAAAAAACCCAAATTTGACCCTAAAACCCCCCCCCAAGACCCTCCAACCCCCCCAAAATCCTCCCCAAACCCCCCAAATCCCCTCCAAATTCCACCCAAACCCTCCAAACCCTCCCAAAACCCCCTCAAACCCCTCCAGAACCACTCAAAAACCACCACAAACCCTCCCAAATTCCACCCAATCCCCTCCAAATTTCACCTTATACCCCCCAAACTCCACCCAAACCCCCCAAACTCCACCCAAACCCCCCAAACTCCACCCAAACCCCCCAAGACCCCCCAAAA